TGCCAGTTTAATAGAACAAAGTGTTCTTGCATTGAGGGGGTACTTGAGGAAAGGCCCAATGTCCATCTGTTACCTTAATACTAAACCTATAAATATATGCACATAGATCTATTTCCCCATCGTCATATATATTTATATATGACATGCCTGTATTTAGACTTCTATAAATGCCCTTTGTCTCCTAGTTCTCTCATCTATTTCCTTTTACTTTCCTCTTGTCCCACTATCATGCACAACCTTCATTTGGGTTTCAGTAATTCCTCTTAGTTACATTGCCTTTGATCAAGCCCTCCTACACCCTCCTCACCACCAATTTTGGATCACTGTTGTTCCTTTGTCACTGGGTTTGTTGACACCTACTTCCTTTCCCCCACCTCCCTCTCTCCCATGTCCCCCCAGAACTATCAGTCCCATTGTTTTCTCCTCCAGATTGTTTATCCCCCCCCATCTGATCTAGATAGACATGCAGAGATAATAATATACACAAAACCAAGACAGAGCAAAACAAAGCAACAAAAGAAAACAACAACAAACAATGCCTAATAAAGAGCAAAGCCTTTAGGAGTGTTTTTCACTTGAGTCTGATGAGCTGCCACCCCCTGGCCCCAAAGTCTATTTTTGGTATTCCCTCAGGACTTCCTCGCTCTGCTCCCCTTGCTGTTCCACGCCCTTAGTGTTCTGTCTCAGTATGGTGGGATCAGATGGGGCGCAATTCCCACACTGTGTCTCCATTGTTGTCCCCCCATGGGCTATGGGTCTTGTAGTGGGACCGGCATGTGGTCCTCTCTGTGCATTAGCTGCTCTGAGCAGGAATATCATCCTCAAGACTTGGTGGGCCAGGATATGCTCCACTCTCTCTTCCTCCCCCTTCATTTGCTTCTGTGTCTTCTGATCAGACATGTCCCTCTCCCTGAGCTGTAGCTTCAATGCTGTCCTCTGAAGCAAATTCATCTGTGGGGAAGGGGAGGATTGGCTTGATTCTAAAGATAGAGGAAATCACAGAAAGATTTTCTAGGGCTGTGTTTTGAAGAGAGCAATATTTAAGAATATTTCATTCTGGCAAATTTGAGTTAAAGATGTTGGAGGAAGAGTATGTGAATTCACATACAACCCATGAAACCAAATTGAAGCAAAATAAAAGAGCAAAAGATAAAAATGAAAAATTCTATTTTTAACAAACAAGAAAAAAATTAGAATACAAAACTAAGGAGAATGCCAGTCAAATGAAGGGATTTTAATTCAAAATACATGACGACATAGTGCCAACACATCCCTGCACGAGGAAAGAGAGATTTTTCAAAACCTCCATGGTGGGGCCAATGACCCTCTAGGTCAAGTTCAACTGAGGGTGGATCAGAATGGCCAGTGTTCAACCTGATCTGTTCTCTCTATCATAATAGAACCTCTCAGATCTAGCGGGATGCATGGTAGTCTAAGATAAAAACTGTATTTAACAGCTTTCTTTGCCCCCAGACATGGCCAAGTTCTACCATCTGGGACCCATGTGGAAATCACAGGGGAAACAATGTGGTTGCCATGACCTGAAACTCCTTTGGTTTTTGGTCAGTTTGTATAGTGTCTTATTTAATCACCCAGGATTCCAGAACTAAACTCCCTGCCATTAAGTGGATCCTGACTCATAGCAACCCTCTAGGGCATGGTAGGACTGCCTATGTGGGTTTCTGAGACTGTACCTCTTTACAGGACTAGAAAGTCTCATCCAGTGGAGGGGCTGGTGGTTTTGAACTGCTGATGCTGTGGTTAGTAGCCCAACAGATAACCCACTAGGCCACCTGAGAGTAAATATAGGTTAAAAAGAAAGGAAGAAATTCAAGGACAGAGCCCTGGCAGATTCCAACAGGATCAAAGTGATGAGAGGAACCAACAAGTTTCTTCTTTCTCAGCAATTTTCTTACACATTCCTCTCCGTTTTTTATCTAGTTAATTCATTTAGCTTTCAGAGGCAATCAATAAACAAGTGGAATTCAGATTGATAAATCAGATTGTCTGGTTGAAATAAACAAGGTAAGCTTGACTATAACCAGGGGAGGTCCTTTTAGATAAGACAGGAGCTCTCTCTTTTCAGCTGATCATTGTAGTAACCTAGCTTAGTGTGAAGGACTCTCTTGTTTTAAAACTGCCCTGCTAGCAACTAGCTTCCCCTTTTCCCTCCTTCCTCTCCCTGATCTCCTAACAGACCTTCACTCTCTTGAGATGCCTCCGGACCCTTCCAGCCCAAGATCCTGCTTGTCCAATGTCCTGATTTGAAACCATGCAGTACGCCTCTTGATTCATGTTCAAGTTCCATATGAGTGCAACAAAGTGTTCTGAATTCCCATTCTTCTCAAGATTATCAATGTAGGTGTCTATCTAGAGAGAGGTTTATTTCAAGGAAAGGGCTTGCACAATTGCAGAGGTAGGCAAGTCCCAAGTCTGTGGGTCAGGAATCAGGGTGAAGACTTCTGACGTACGTGGTTGTTGCTGACATGCCCCGAGCTTGGCAGGCCACTGACTCACCTCCCAGGAGCAGAACACGGAGGATGGCCAGTTGGCTGCAGGATCAAGTGAGAGGACGCTTTTCCAGAACGTCCATCCTATTGAATGCAGATCACACCCTCAAGGAAACATACGTGTTGACTTTCAGCTAATTGGCTGCTCAGAAATCAGGGATGATTAGATTATGGAAGAGTGAATGGTCCAGTGTCTGCCAAATCGCTGAGAATCACAGCTTAACCAAGTTGACACATCAAAATAACTATGAGAAGCTGCCCAGGGGAAAAAACAAGAATAAAAGCAGGTAGCCAGATGACAGTGGACATGCTCAGAAGACAGTAGGCAGTGTGGTTTGGTCGCATGAGTAAGAGAGGAATTGACAAGTTATGAGTAGACATGATAAGAATGACCTTGAAGGCCAAGTATGTCAATGTTACTCTCTAGTTCATGAAGATCCAGTGAAGGTTTTTTGTTGTTTGTTTGTTTGTTTAACCACAGCTGTATGTATGCAAGTATGTATTAAAGATCATTTTATTGGGGTTCATACACCTCTTATAACAATCCATCCATCAATTGTATCAAGCTTATTTGTACAGATGTTGCCATCAGTATTTTCTAAACATTTAATTTCTATTTGAGAGTCACAGCTTTATGGAGGAATAATTTACACACCATGAAATTCACCCATTTTAAGTGTACAATTCAATGATTTCTAGGAAATTTACCAGGTGTGGTAACCATCACCATAATCCCGCTGAAGAACATTTATATCACAGCAATAAAATCCTTCATGTCGTTTACACCCCCAGGCCTAGGAAACCAGGAGTCTACTCTGTTTCTATAGCTTTGACCTTTCAGTGCATTTAATAGAAATGGAGTCACATGCTCTGTGTCTAGCTTCTTTTACTAAGCTTGATATTTTTGAAATTTACCGGTGTTGGAGTGTGTCACTACTGCATATGATTTGACACACGAATTTGCATGAATTTAGCACAGTTTGTATGTCTATTCATCATTTGTTGGATATTTGGGTCGTTTCCATTGCTTGACTATTGTGGCTAATGTAGCTATAAACATTTGTATACAAGTCTTTGTGGACCTACGTTTGTCTCGTTCTTGGGTATATACCTACAAATTAAATTACTTACTGGGTCATATGGTAACTGTGCGTAATATTTTAGGAAACTGCCAGGCTGTTTTTCAAAGCGGCTACACCATTTACATTCTCATCAGCAATGTCTTATTGTGCTAGTTTCTCCCTATCCCTGCCCACACTTGTTATTATCTTTGACTCTTACAGCCATTCCATGCAGCTACATTCTCACTGGGCACAAGAAGCTTGGCCGCTAACTGAAAGGTTGCAGGTGTGAATTTACTCAGTGTCTTAGAAGAAAAGCCTGGGAATCCATTTCTGGAAGGTCACAGCCATGGAAGTCTATGAAGTACAGCTCTTCTCTGAAATACATAGAGTTACTGTGAATCAGAATTTACTAGGTAGCAACTCGTCTGGTAGTGGTGAGTGGTATGAAGTGGTGTCTCATTGTGGTTTTAATTCTGGTTTCCCTAATGGCTAAGGAACCCTGGTGGCGCTGTGGTATATGTGTTGGGCTTCTAACCACTCGGTCAAAGGTTTAAACCCATCGGCTGCTCCATGGGAGAAAGATAAGGCTGTCGGTCTGCCCTGGTAAAGATAAAGTCTCAAACTCACAAGGTTGCTATGCATCAGAATCCACTTGATGACAGTAGCTTTGGTTTGGGGCTTTGGGAATGATGACTAGCATGTTTGCATGCACTGATTGCTCATTCATACACCTTCTTGGCATCCATTCAAATCTTTCAGGAGCCCTGTGGCGCTGTCAGGAAGTTCTGCACCGCTAACTGCAAGGGTGGTGACTCAAATTCCCCAGTCTCCCAGTGGGAGATAGGTGAGGCTCTCTGCTCCCTGAAGATTTGCAGCCTTGGGAATTCTATGTAGGATCGCTAGGAGCAGGGCAGAAGCAATGGCAGTGGGTTTGGGCATTCAGGCATTTGGGTCATTTAAAAAGTGGTTTCATGCCTTCTTCTTGCGTTGTAAGAGTCCTGGATCTCGTATAAAGTCTGGAGGTATTTTCAGATATGTGCCTTGCACATTATTTCTCCCGGCCTAGGGCTTCTCTTTCCTTTTCTCCATGATGTCCATTGAACGGGGAAAAGCAGATAAAACAGAGCAACGCTTCGGAAGAATAAAACTCTGGCAGCAATACATGGGATTAAAGGAAAGGGACAGAGAGGTCTACTATAATCCTCCCCAGATGTTGTAAAGGGACAGCAAGGTCTACTTTAATCCTCCCCCGAGTGTTGTAAATATAGAGGAAAGACACAAGCCAATTCCTTAAAATTCTCCAGGAACCAAAGGGTTAGAAGTGCTATTTATTGAAACCTGTTTACAGTCTAGTTAATCAGTGAACCAGAATCAGTGAAACTAATCAATCTAGAGAAGTACCTTTGAAAGATTTTCCTGGATTAGAGAAAAAGAGATGGGGGAGAAGCGATAAGTGGCTATTACAAGAACTACATGAAAATTATTTCCAGCTTTGAGCCAGGCTGTTCCGAACCTCCTCCCCAGGTGCTGTCACTCTGATATTGTTTACTGGCAGGAAACTAGGAAATTTTGACTGGTGAGGAGGGAGAGGCCAGGCTGTTTGCAGAGGGAGGCCTGTCTCAGTGGCTCTTGGAAACAGCCCAGCAAGATGTCAGGTCTGTTCTCCGTCCTCTTCTACTTCCTCCTTCTCTTCAAGTTGGCTGCCCTGGTGACCTTTCGCCACCACAATTATTATGACCTGATGCGGACGCTATACAAGGTGCACAATGAATGCCCCTACATCACCCGGGTTTACAGCATCGGCCGCAGTGTGAAGGGGAGGCAACTCTATGTGCTGGAATTCAGTGCCAAGCCCGGAACCCACGAGCTTCGTAAGTCCTGAGTGATGCTTGGGGTCTGGGGACCCACTCCACAAATCTAGTCAACAGGGTGATTTCTGGGGAGGTCGATGGAACCTTTTATCTTTAAAATATGACCTCGTCCCTAACCTGTGCTAAATGTTTTCCACTTTACCCTCAAACTGCCGCTGCCTGGAGAGACCCCGAACTCCAGCTCAGGCTTCAAACCATCCCTTTTTTGAGTGATGTTTGCCCAAGGCCTTGAGGCTAAGAGGTGTTTTCTTCCCTGCTCTCCTCTCAGCCCCCTTCCTTCCTTCCTTGTCTCCCATCTCTCTTCTTCCCTCCTTGCAAGGGCCCATCTTGTCCAATTCAATGCCTCAGGAGGGTGCGGAACAATGGGCCCTGTGGTTCCTCCAGGCTGACTTCAGGGACAGCTCAGGAGGAATTTTCGGCCTAAGGCATCCGTGTACCTGTTGGAGTCTTCTTTGTTTAATGTGTTTTTATTATAAAGACAACCCATGGGTCTCCGGTTGATCAACACGAGGGCCTAGAACGCTCCAGTTTGAGTGTTGAAACTCACATGTGTTTCCTGAGGTCAGTGGTTTGGAGGTGCAAAAATTCAGCTTTCACTCTGGTTCTTCCTGCGGCAAGTGAGAGCGGCGCTGGGTGCCTCTGTGAGCAACCAGTGCCGCAGACACCGGCGGATCGTTGTAAAGGTACAGTATTTTTTTGAACTTTACCTTGTTTTTTTGTGAAACCTGAGCACCCCTCTGACTGACCGGTCACCTTTCATTTCAGAGGACTGGCCTCTCCTCGAAGCCACCGCTTCGCTAGTCCCCAGTGTGTGGTGGAGGCCGTGTGTAGGGGGATGGCCAGCGAGGGGCATTCGAACCAACAAGGAAAGGACTGCCCTTTGCACTGACCAATGTCTGGGGGACGTTTCTGGTTGTCCTTGGAGGCTCTTCCCCGCCCCCGCCCTTGCCCGCCCCCCAATTGATTCAGAGCTTCAGAGTCGTGCGGGCTGACAAACACAGGAGACCCAGGGAGGCCATGCTGCTGGGAGCTTGGTCCAGAGATTGTCGTTTGTGTCAGGGGCCTCTTCACCCTTTCTGTGTAGCTTTTTACCTGTCACCTGTAGTACATGGTAAAGGAAGCATAACTTTGGTCGAAGAGAGCGGAGAGATGGTTCAATCCATCTAGGCCAGGAAGCATGAGGTGGTAAATCGGCATTCGCAGGCATGGGGGCTACTCAGAACACTAGATGCCCATGGGTGAGGGGGGCTGTAAGGGGCACAGAAACGAAGTGCCAGTGTCCTAGCAGTGGTTCTCTGGGAGTGTGGGAGGATGGCTGCGCTTCTCTCTTTTTTCTTTTCCATCGGATTTTTCCGTTTTAATCCGATCTTTTGACCTGGGACCTACTGAATCCACTGCCTACATGTTGTAGGCCCCCGGCTCTGGACTCAACCAGAGGGCCTTGATGCCTCCCCAGCGGGACATGTGGTCAGAGACAGAGGGAGAAAGAGAAAGGCAGTCTGGGAAAGAGCCAAGGCAGTCTACTCAAAAGTCGATTCACAGATTCTTTTCTCCAGCAAGACTTTCTGAAGACGGGCCTTTATAGGCTATGTCAACCCTCCCTAGTGCAGCTCAACATCCCAGGAGATGTTCTGGAAGACGGTACTGCACGCATGGAAACTTTCTCTCCCTTGTTCCTTAGCTCCCTCAGCACCCTTCCACCCCACTCCCACCCATTCCCGGCCTTCTCCATGACCAGAAGTATCAAAGCCGTAAGGACGGTGGGGGCCTCTTGCCCAGCCAAGCCTCTTTTGCACCGTGGGTTCACTTACAGCATCAGGATTATAGACTGCCGGCTTTGGTGCTGTGTCCCAGCCCACTGCTGGTGAGATGGGAGGCAGTACCACATCAGGGGTAAAGTTTGGATAAGACAGAGGCAAGCCACTGAGGAGTGCTGTCCCGTGGATGCCATGTGGCCAGGAGCTTCTTCACTGTGTGGGGGTGGGGTGGC